CAGCCGAACGCGCTAACCACTTGTGCCATCGAGCTCCTCTACAAAATTTTCATTATCAGTTTGAATTTTCATGGAAGGTTTATAACTATAAATTATAAAATTCTAATTCTTTGTCTGGCTCTCAGCCTAATCGTCTGTCTGAATAAATAAGAGTTGGGGAATTTTCCCTATACGGAAAAATATTCTATTCTTTCTAAATAAAATGTAAAGGACATATTTTTTTCAAATTCACTCTTTCGAATGCGACCTAATTTTTTCTCGCCAGCATTATAATTTTATTATTGTCCATTTTTTTTGTTACATTTGGATACCGGCTTTATACTATACACATTATAAGTATTAATTTAAAAATTAAACGGGTGTAGTTTTAATCTATAAATTCTTAAGTACACACTGGCCACTTTTTCCCAACGATAAATAATGTGTTTTTCTATAAATTTTAATCGCGTTGCTCAATGTTGATCAAAACACCTAATTCAATAAAGTGGTATATTACAATGTCTAACTACGAAGCAATTTTTTTACATGTAGTAACACACAAAGATTAAATATAATGTATTTTAGTTATACTAACAATACATGTTATTTTAATTTCGGCCAGTTAAGTTAAAACGTAATACAAGATAGCATAAATCCTATAATATTTTTTTTGTTCTATTAATAATTTATTATTACAAACAACAACTCGATTAAGTACAAATTTCGTTTCAAATAGAAATCACGGTTAGATACAGCTAAAAGTGATTACAATATTTAGATTTATCCGTAATGGCAATTGATATATTCTTGAACTCAAAAGTTTACTAATTTAAAAAAGTGTTGTCAAAAAACAAAGAAAATGTTTACTAAAAAGAATATTTATTTAAAAAAATTGTTACTTCTGTTCACTTACACAAGTAAAAAATAATTTATTTATAACCATTTGAATTTGAATCAGTCGTCGATGTTAATGGATTGACAATGAAGCAAGAATATCTTTTTCCATAATGGACTGTAGTTTTTTTTTAAACCTATTTAACTTCTATCCCATATCAACACATTTCAACATCTAATATAAAGTGATTTCACTTATCTCACATTTAAGCACAGACAGATAGATAGGTACTTATTAGTAGATTCTTTATTCAAGAGATAACAATAAGAAAAGAAATATTTTAAGAAAATGTTATATTATGGTTACAAAACCACATCAGAAATGTTTGGTCCGGAACTCAACAATAAAATGTATTTATTTGAGGTAATAAGTAATTGAACATAATTTTAGCATAGTTAGATATGACTTCGAATAAGCTTTTTGCTAATTTCAAGGTATTCATTGAAGAAAGATTTTCTAAAAATACTATTCTTTTGTAATTTCTGAAAAACACATTTGATATATTTATAAAACGAGGCGTGACGTCGATTCTAAAATATACACTTTGTAGGATAGGTAGGTACTTTAACCGTGATACAGATTATTACATACAGTTTCAATATTATGGTATCATTTCTAGTGTCTACTTTTTATCGCTAAGTGTAACTTTTATTATTATGAGTTGGCTTGCTGTTCCTATTTCGCTGTGGTGGTATCCAGTTAAAATGAAAAACCTGGAATTCGAATAAAATAGTGTTACAATAAATGATTATATATCTTCCTAAAATAATATTGTCTCATGCATTCATTGGAAATTTAAAAATTTGGTTTCACTATGCAAGGTCAAAATATGAAAGGTTAGTCTCTACCAAGTGGAAAATTCCTCGAGAGGCTGCGTTAGTATTTTTCAGCTTGGTATAGATTAAAGATTAACGCTACGTCAACACTGTCGCGCTATCGCAGAAATTTTCTGTTTTCACGACAAATCGGGCCAAGTAATAATTACATTTCAAAAATGTCCCTATTGCTTGGTTAGATGCGTCGTCAAAACGGCAAATGTCCGCGATAGTGCAATGTCTGTAGCATAATAGCCCTGGCAGACGAAGGACTCCAGTCCTACGCGGACGAAAGGTTAGCATCCTGAATCGTGTAACCGCGACAGGCCCTTTCATTGACTCAACGTACACGGTGTGCGAACATTTGTAGCTCAAAATTTTTGAAAAGCGCACGCGATGGAATAAAATCGACCTATCCATAGAATAAAGCTACTTCTGCATAATCACAACTTTACAGTAGAGCGATTTTAAGTTTGTAAAATGTAAAATATGCTGTAACTTGTATTGGTATTGTTCTATCATTTGAATTTTTTTACTAATCATATAAAGCATTAAGAAGCAAATTATGACGCATTTATTGTTTAAAAAAAACTATATTTACGGATTATATTTCGTTATTTAAGAGTTTCTTATGTGATTATGTGACAATTTACTACGGACATCTTTATATTACATATGCATATCAGACCTTATGCTTGGGAAACGTGTCAAATTATGTGTAGATATAACTTTGTATTACGTAATTTATATTTTCTGTCGCGTCACATTATGATAATATGGCAAAGATTGGGCAAAAACGATCAAACAAGAAAAATAGAATCAAACATTTAGTAAAAATTCTCAGTTTATAACAAAATTGAAGCCGTGCAGGCTGCGTTCTTGCCTATCCAAAAGGTTCTTGTGCTCTTGGCTCTATATTCTTCGGAAACAAAAATCACATGTCCCTTTATTCAATTGCTATCTTCAAAGTTATATAAGTTTTAGAATAAATGTTTTTTACCAGTAAAACATATGCGTCCGTTTAGCCTAAAAGTACAATACAAGCAATTTGGTAACATTTTCATATGTAACTTTATTGTATGCATAGGTCGAAATATTCTCAGATTACGTTGGGTAAACTTCAAGTTTAAGAAAAAGAGAAGACGCTTTAAAAGAGGTAACTGGGTCCATTTCTTTAATTTGGATCGAGCTTGCAATGTAAACTAAAGTTTGCTGTTTGCGTTGCTGCGTTATTCACATGAGTTCAATTTTTTGCGGGGATTCCCGCGTACTTTTGTCCTGTCTGGTCTTTCGGTATATTCGGTTGTTTGGGTCACTTATGCGTTACTCTATGCATTTATTAGCGATATATTTTAGAGTACAATAATAGTCCGTGAACAATTTGTCTCTCGTTTGCGCGGGCCATAATACTTATTTTAAAGAAAAACATTTATTACCTTTGCAAGAATCCTCCTTGGAAGTGCTTACAGACCTAGAAAATGTTTAAAACATTTCAATACATTGCAACATTTAAAGCTTGAAGAAAAATAAAAACACGAAGATATTGGCAAAAATATTTATATGTGCTTTTTAATTTCACCGACAACACACTAAAGTAAAAAAGTTGATAATGCCCTTTACTATTTATTATAGAAGGTTATATTTTTTTGGAAGTGGATCAAAAATGCATGCAAATTAATTATAAATAACTGTAGATTATAACCTAAAAGTAATTAAGAGTTTTTAGAAATCATTTGTTAGTGACCAAAAATATTTGAACGACTTTAACGAATTTAGTAATATTTATTCTTTCGAATCTTATAATATGTCGTTGTTAATCTTATTGTTAAGGGATATGTCCCTGATGTATGTATAGGTAAATATTAACGAGATCTCTTTATGTTTTATATATATAATAACACAGTATATTTAAGCATAATAGCTGTGTATTTATTGTAAGCCAATGTCGATTCAATATGAAAGCAGTCTCTTTTGCGGATTTTAAGTTATTAGCTTACTTACATTTATATTTTTTTTCTTAGAATATAGAAAAGCAATTAAATTTTGGGTTTATATTTGAGACGACAAGCAACGCATTCTTGGATAAATTAATGACTTTGTAAAGCTTTTTGGATTAGTATCTAATACTAATAAATATTTTTGTTTTCTAATTTCTCATTCAATATTTTTATAGAGCAATTTGAGACACAAGAATATTTATAAACACATTTGCAAAAAAGCGAAACTTCTTGTTGAAGTAAAGCCATTCATATTAGTGAAGTGTGTGTGAATTATAAATTTACTAACCTTCATTACTTATAGTTAAAATCAGGGGTATACAATCAAAGTTGGTATGGTCCGCAAAATTTAAAAAGTGAGATTTAAATTACAACACATTCATTTCCGTATCTATATTTATCCCGTAGAATAATTTATACAAATTCTAGAAATCTCGACTGTTATTTAAACTTGAAAATTGACTTAAAAAACAAACGTAGCAAAGTCCAAGTGAGTTGAGTTTCAATTTGCGTAAAGTCCTTTTCGACCAATAGGAAGGCTCCATTGCCTCCATTTCAGCTGTCATGGCCGCCTTTGATGTTGTAATGCTCTTTGGTTGTGTTACAGTTACAAACTTAGTAAAGTCCAAAACTTGGTAACAAAACTGGGTAAGTCCATCTTATACTTAAGGTTTTACTCAAAAGTATTCAACTGAACGTGATGAACATTTGTATTTCCATAATGTATTACATTCTGCATATGAATAATGTTTAACATTAGAATAGTTACCTGTAATTATTAAAATAATCGTTTTTATCGTTTACTGAGCATTTTGGCAATGTGGACTTTACCAACTTTGATTGTAAACCCCTCAAAAGTAAAGTCTTCAAGTTATTCAAACTTTGGAATGTAATAACCTCAAAATTCTTAAAAAATATTTTTGAGGAAGAGACTGAACCTTTGTAAAATATTCGATGAAAAAATCGGATATTTTACAAAGGTTACAAAATATGCAAATTATCAATTAACGCATGTTGAAATGACTAGACAAAGCTTAAGTTCCATTTATAAATATGTCGAAAGGTAAAGTTAAATAAATCAGTTCATAGCCTATTCTCAGTCTATTAAAACAATCACTAATATGAATGCTGACTCAAAGAAGTTACAGGAGACTTCAAAAATTGCTATAAATTCTTCGATAGTGACAGAATTGAGTGACAATAGAACAGAGAAAGCCAACATTTATTATCAACAACCACATACGCCCACTTACCAAGATAGGCTTAAACGTAAGTAATAGAAAAATAACATACGTCATAATTACTATTCATTAACATTATAACAAGTAACTTCTAAATTGAACTTCGGTTACCGAAACTTGTTCACACAAAGTTGGCTGAAAATTTGGAAAAATAAAGGTATGGTTAGTGTGAAAAAATAAACAACTCAAAATAAGATGTGTTGGTATGGTAATGAAGTCCAAATACTCACCGATGATTAGGGCCAAGATGATTATACCGATTACTGCTGCGATAATCATCATCTGAAAAATTTGCTCCATTTGAGTATCTAAATTCTCATTTCTTATATCAATTATATCGAACTGACTCGTTCTTTTGGGTATTGTCTTAATATTAGTTAGTTGCTTTTATTATGATTACATCCTTTTAAGCATTCCAAAATGTTAACATCATTAAAAAAATCAAGTAATCTAAACATATTTTGGATACGTGTGGTACGAAACTGTTTCTTTTTGTATAAATAAAATTAACAGTGGGTTACTGTTATTTATTACTGTAAACCAAAAATGTAGAACTTAATTGATGGCTGTTGTCATCCCAGATAAATTAATAATAAAAAATGATCTAAATAAGTTATATTAGGTACTAAAGTTATATACTGACGAGTATTTAATATCGTTGACTGACTACACTAAACTTTCACGGTCAACACGACATTGTAGTAATTAGTGGGACTGCCGCCATAAACCTTGTTTTTTGTGAGTCTCCGATATTTCGGCACTGTTATCCCATGCTTACAACAAATTTTATACAATGTCTTATTTTCTTTGTTCACACTTATATACATGTATAAAACATCTAGTATATAATACCTGTATCAAACTTGTTGGATAAACAAAATATGTGAAGTAAATAAGTGATTAATACTTGTAAAATAATAGTTGTCTATGCAGTGTAAACGAAAAAAGTTTTAAACTGCCACAACAAGTATTCTAGAAGTTTTGTTTAAAACTGGTATACGACTTGTTTCTTGGTGGAAACGAGGGGCTACAAGCACTACAGACGGGGCCACGAGTACTAGTGTTCTTGTTGTAGTACTAGCCTACTGGCTACTCCATGATCATGGCCTTGCAACAGTACCCTTAGCACGGACCATTATCGAATTCGAATAGTTTGCGAGTCCGAAATGTCATTGTCAAATTTTGTACGGAAGCTTGAACAGCAACTCTAAAACGGACGTAACGAGAACTAAAAATCAGTACATATTACACAAAACACTATACACAAAAAACAAGGTACCTAACATGGTAGCAATCCCGCTCATAACTTTAATCTAAATAAGTTTTCAAAACAAAATTAACGACTTTCGTGTCGATTCTGGCAGGATTTTCTAAACTTAAATTTGGAAACAGTGTAACCTTGTCATTCTCTATTGTTCTCTATACAGAAAAAATATAAGAAACTGATGTTAAATTAAGTTTTAAGTTTAGAGAATCATGCCAGAATCGACACCATTATTGATTATCTATTTACATTCGCTCAAGGTTTCTTAATGTGTTTTACCTAGGAATATTAATACCTTTTATAAATAAAGGCCCATAAAAAAATGAGTCTATATAGTATTTTTACAATGTACGAGCTGTACATACCTATTTAATCAACATTATAATAATTTCAAATTGACCCAGATTACTTTAAGCATACTCATCGATTGTATTTTCCTTTGCACAACCCCCACATACAATAAGCAAACTATGTAGAGAAACTTAATAACGTAGCCATGTATAAAATATACTAAGCAATTACATAAAAACTAAGTTTAACTCGGGATAAAATATTTATGATGATCAAATACTACAGGTATCATAGATTAGAATTCAGGAGTTGTATTATATCTTACGCTAGCCTATTTCAAATACCAGCCATGTTCAAACGCGCTGAACTGAAGGAAGAACAGCAATATATATTTTTTTAATGTTAAAAGGGCGGAAAAAAAGTTTAAAGCAAATATATCCCCTCGCACCGTTTGCCTACCCTGACCCCATCCACTACCCCGAGGAGTCCTGCAACCTTACTCAACGACAGAAACATAATCACACCAAAAGGTAGTGTTATTTTATTGCGATCTTCTGTAAGGTGGAGGTTACTTCCCCAGATTGCAAAGTATATTGGAAAAAAAAATTGAAATACAACAATCCTGATGCCAACCAAAACACTCCAAAATGGGACCAGTTGCCTGATTTATTTATATTGAAGTAATGATCTTAATTGTACGCAAATGGAATTTGAATTCTTAAATAGTAGTAATTAAATAGTAGTTACAGAAAAATATATATCATTTGTCATCGATAAATCTAATTGTAATATCAAAATCATAAACATGTTAATCAAAAGTTCTTAAGTTTGTTAATCAAAGTCGAGTTAATATTTAGTGTGAAAGGCTTGTTTATACTACAGCTACAGCCACATTATTCGTCAAAAAATTCGAGTTGATTCGTGATAGTATGGCCCCAGCATTTGCCTGTTTGTTTAAATTGAATCGTGTCTGCACGATGATAGCTTTGTTCCATTATTTAACAGTAACATTTACCTTTAGATTCTGCAACCAAAATTTGCTTTTCAGTTTTCCAGCTTGCTGTTCGAACTGTGAAGCTCCCTGCTGCAAAGCATCTGAAACATATGAAAAGGAGCAAATTGTATTTCAAGATTTGGTCATCTTGGAACCACTTGAAATACTAATTGTTTGATTTATGATTTCACAAGTCAAATAAGTATTAAAAGGGATGATGATGGACGGGGGGTAAAATAAATTCTATTTAGTCCGTCAGTTAGACTATCAAAAAATAGTAGTCGGTTTTTTATTTTGTATCGATCAAAAAAAAATTCACAAAGATAATCGAGTGAAAGTTTGAGAGTGGGGTGCTCGTGACGTCACTTTTTAGGAAAAATTTTACGAAAACGTGACGTGTCACGCGACATTTCAAATCAAATGTATCTCTGTAATGGTTTGATTATGTAAAAAAATAAAAATTACGATATTTTCGATAATCTAAGAAGAAACGAAGTTAACACCCTTATCGAAAAGTTGCAATGGAGGAATTCAAATTTATCTGCCTGATAGAAGAAGACACGAAGTTATCATCCCTATTGTTAAATTGCAATAGAGGAATTAATATATTTTTATGATTTTATTTATTTTTTTAAGCATTTAACTGCTAGATGTTTAAATCTAAAGAAAAGTTTTACTAGAAAAATAAACTTTTCTTTAGATTTAAAAAATAAATAAAATCATAACTATAATTGCTATTTCCTCTTTCAAATGTTTAATACTTGAAAAAGTATTCATTTGACATTGTGGGTTACCTACAATGCGAAGAGATGGCGCTGGCTTGCAGCTTAAGGCTGGGAAAATTTCGACGCGGCTAATAGGGCCGTGGTAGCATAATGGTCAGTGCATTCGCCCGGATAGCGAAGGATGCGGGTTCGAGTCCCGTCCGCTGCCTGGTCCGCGTGGATTTTTTCTAGTAAAACTTTTCTTTAGATTTAAACATCTAGCAGTTAAATGCTTAAAAAAAAATAAAAAATCATAACTATAATTGCTATTTCTTCTTTCAAATGTTTAATACTTGAAAAAGTATTCATTTGACATTGTAGGTTACCTACAATGCGAAGAGATGGCGCTGCCTTGCAGCTTAAGGCTGGGAAAATTTCGACGCGGCTAATAGGGCCGTGGTAGCATAATGGTCAGTGCATTCGCCCGGGTAGCGAAGGATGCGGGTTCGAGTCCCGTCCGCTGCCTGGTCCGCGTGGATTTTTTCTAGTAAAACTTTTCTTTAGATTTAATATATTTTTTTTAATATGAACATTTTCCTGTTTAATAAATTTTGTCAAAATTTGAGAAAGATAGAGCAAGATAAAACAAGAAAGAAAAATTAAGCGACATAGAAAGAGTACAGGGATATATTATTTTCTTATTTTTCTTCCCACCACCAAAGGCAATAATTCTTTTATGACAATCATGACATTATTTTGACCTTTATAATTATGAAATTGATGAACTTCTAGTTTACCTGCTCTATCGTCTAGCTCGGACAGCTTCTGATCTCGTTCTAGCACCTTCTCGACGTTCGTCTTCATAATGTCCACCACCTGAAAATAGAATAATTTTCATCACTATTCATTCTATTAAAACAACACTTTCATGGTGCTGTGAACACGTTTATCACACAATGATAAACACGCGCGTTTCTACTGAAAAATAGGGAGCTAAGCCGAGTGTGTCAATGTGTCTCTGTTCTGTTGTTTTATATAGCGCTTACTCCTTTTTCGTGTCGGCAGATACACTTTTGCGACAAGGGAAGATTTGCGGTTCTCACGATGCATCTAACCGTAGATTAAAACAAAAAGGAACGATACGGCACTCGCGGCTCCGCTTAAATTGTGGTTTATGACCACAATTCGCCTTAGTTACTATTGGACATCCAAACACGATGCATTTACACTCTATATAACAACAATGCCTTCGATGCTTTTATAAAGAACAAAAATAGTTTAAGATCTAATAACAAATGCCAAGGCAACACTTTTCATTCGTAAAACTATATTTTTTTTTTCAAAAGTTCCTGTTTGCCATGAATGCTAGTTACTGATTCGCCATTTTTTATTAAGAAAAGGACAACGATACAACTCAGCCGTCTGTAGAGAGAGAAAAGAAAATGCAGTCGGCTGTAAAGCGACGCGGACTCGCGCCGTTTCGTTCACGCTGCTTTGAAGCGTACAATTTTGTCGCATTCGCTCGATTGAATATTTATTTACAGATGTGTGCGTGTGTGAAAGTTGCTTTGTAATTAAGTCGGATCATATTTTATTTGATGCTAGTATGAGCGTACCGTATCTTCCCTTTTCGTTTTAATCTAAGCATCTGGCCGAGCAATATTCACATTTCTGTCTGTTAACTGAAATGGCGCAAATTGTCGCGAAACCAGAAATTTAATGACTTTTAGTACTTATTTCTTGAAAAAAGACTTATACTCAATTACAAATTTACAACCAGATCTGGGCACTCCCAATGAAGTATTAATTATGAAAACTTAATAAAAAGGGGTTCTAAACATCTTTCACGCTGTTAACGATCTTTTTGCTTACGCGCCCGCACGTCGAAAGGCTCTTGTTAATTAGTGATTGTCGTTCAAAGGTTAATTAATTTTGATTATAAACATAATTTGGTTTAATTTTGGAATCTAAATCAATAATATTCTGCAAGGGAGGTACCATTACGGAAGGTTAATTAAATCATCCAAATCTATATACATAAAACTCAAAGGTGACTGACTGACATAGTGATCTATCAACGCACAGCCCAAACCACTAGACGGATTGGGCTGAAATTTGGCATGCAGGTAGATGTTATGACGTAGGCATCCGCTAAGAAAGGATTTTGATCAATTCTACCCCCAAGGTGATAAAATACCGAAGCGAAGCGAGGGCGGGCCACTAGTATACTATAAATTGATTTTAAATAAAAATATAAAGGGAAGCCTGTGTCACAAAGCGGCACAAATGTTTGTACTGCTAATTAGTAGTAAGTACCTACCTACTTTTGTTCATGTAAGTAAAACATGTATAAATTCAATTGACATTTTATGTTTTTATTACACGAGTTTCTTCGAAAGGAAAACGAGATATTCCTTTCCTGCAGGCAATTTCTACTGTGACGTCAAATTTGGGAATAGAGGAGGGGACGAGAGCAACTCGTATCCATTGGGATTATACTAGGATCGGAAACGAAGTGATGACATCATAACAAACGCCATGTTTATATATTCGTTTTCAATGTTAGTTGAATGGAAACTGGAGATAGAGTTGCCCCGTTTTATGATGAGCTTTCAGCGGTTCGAATTACGAATCAGAATCGGTTTTAAATTAAGAAACTTTATAAACTTTTTTTTTCTATAGGCTTCCCACGGCTTATGCATATTTATCCAATGTTAAGTGTTAAAATGTTTACAAATACTATACATACTATAATACGTTACAAAACTGCTAAAGTGACGTTTCCCGATCCCGCCAAAAAGTCGTTTGTTTATAAACGTTATAAAGTAATAAATTTCTCAATCTTTTCATTATTCTTGTTGTTTCTGATCGCCTAAACTTCTTAACTACCGCGCTCAGCTTTCTTTTGTATAAATTTACAGGTTACTCTTGTGTGTGCGTAAAGATATATGAAATAAATAATTATCCTTTTATCGAATTAAAAATTAAAAGAATTAAGTGAGATTAACAAAACACTGCGTCGCTTTTAACATGAGGACATTTAATTTTAATATTTTACATTATCCTCATTGATACTACAAAGCTATACTATCAGTTCGCATCTTAAAAATATATACGGTGCTACAGCAAAAAAGTTAGACACTGTTTCAAAAATTGTTAAGACTGTATGACATTTTTTCTAAAACTCGCATTGAAAAGCTTTACTTTTTCGTGGTAAAAAGGATAAAACATGGAGTGGAGCCTTACAGTAGTCGCGTATGATGTGTAACATTTGAAACCACACCTTATTTAAGTGAAAAAAGAAATAAAACCTACTACAAAAGGAATAAGCCATTTGAAAATTATGTTCTAAAATCAAATCAAATACCGCGCGCTTTCTCGACTTCCTGTTACACACTTCCGTCCCATTTCACGAAATCACTCCCACAAATTGCAGGAAAGCGAGAGGAAAGATGTTACACATCAATATAATAATAAAAGGAACGCAAACTTTTTAATTCTAGTTCTATTCCCTATAGTTGGCATTGGTATATTTTTATTATTTTCTTCAAATTAAAATAGGAATAAAAGAGGTTAACCATTTAAATTCTCCGGCATGGAGTATTTTTTTAATAAAAAGATTACAGCACTGACCTCATCTACTTGCGCCTGTGTCTGCTGCAAGCGGCGCTGGGCGGCGATCTGCTGGGGCGTCTTGGGCCCGCCCACGGGCATGTCGCCGTCACCGCCTGGCGCCAGTCCGCCCTCCGTCGCCCTGCGTAATTGACAAGTTAGTTCGTGACATAGTATACCAACCTACCTATATGCATAAAAGTATAGGAGTCAGCGTCCGTTCTCTCATGGACTTAGGATTTTGTTGATTCATCCAAAGAAATAAAAGTACCTAAATATGTAAATATATCCCATCAAAAATATAAATTATGTGAAATGAGAACCAAGTTCAATATTATGATATGCATTGTTGTTGACTTCAACTACAAAAGCAGCGAGATCTAAATGGTTTCCAAGTTCAATGGTCAGTCCTGAAAATTTACTAAAACAAAAAATATTTTAATACGATTAAAAAAAAAGTTTCTTCTTATAACTTATAATATAATGAAGCCTAAGGTCTGATTTGGCTAGTTCACAAATACTATATTTTTTATTTTTCTTTTAGCATTAAAGGCTCCAACTCCGAGTGAAAAGATATATAAATAAAAATAGTATAGATGTAAAAGTAAAAAACGAAGTAATTGAAAACTAGAATTGATAGTGGAATGTATGTACATGAAAACATAGAGATATAAAGAAACACAAAATAATACGATAAGTCCACATACAGATAGGAGTAAGAGACATTTTATATAAGTATAATATAATAGGTGCTTCTTAATTATTCGCTCTAACATTTCTATACTACAGCAAATTAATAACACTTATTAAATCTGTAATTTGTCGCCCCGGCACAGCGGTGACACTCTGTGTACGTGAGAGCTCCAGCGTCAGTGACCTTGAGCAGGAGCGTGTATGCGCTAGGGTTGAACTTGGAATTTAGACTTGTGCCAATGAATATTTATGCATAGTAAGTTATTAAATGTAAACTGATTCAAGGATACTGGGGTAAATAATGAAGGATAGGTTTGATTTTATAATCAATTTTTAATCTTTTAATGTAGGTAAGTACTATAACAAATTGCTAACTTTTATATATTTTCTCCTTTTTCGATTCGTTTTATAATTCTTATTATTATCTAAATAATAATAAGATTGCGTAGCGTTGTCAGTCTGTGCGTGCAATGCAGTGCAACGCTATTATTTTACTATTTCGCTACTGCCATCCCTTCGGTCTCGGCAGTCGGCGACTGCCCTCTCCACGCCCCGCGCGCCGCGCAACGCCCCCGCGCACCTCCAGACACCCACACATAGCCGCGGCCGATTTTACGAGCACACATGCTTAAGTGTCGCTTCTTTTCGCATAGTGTATATATTCTGTGGCCCCGGTAAACTAAACTTTTTAACAAAAAAATCGGCCTCTTACTTGTCGTGCCGTCTGCTTGTCGCCATCAAAATATTTTATTTTGTAAAGGGTATATATATATTTTAAGCAATTACTTCGTCTTAGTTACTTTTAATGTTTTCTTCTAAGGATTTTTTATTAGGTTAGAAATTTTCTAATAGATAAGTTGAACGACTATTACTCTTAAATCAACAAATCTATTTAAACCGTTATAATTTTCCTTAAAAGTTCATCAAAAGCACAATTACCCTGATTTTACCCCACACGATATGGTAAACGATAAAAAAATAAAATCACCTTTAGGTTACATATTATTAGCCACCCTAAAAAAATATTTTTCCGGATTTTATTTTACCATTTTGTCGGCATGATTGATATACATATCTCCAGAAAATAACAGCTCTCTAGTGCTAACAATCTCCAAGCAAAACCGGACAGACAGATGGACATGACGAAACTATAAGGGTTCTTGTTAGGATTACGAAACCCTAAAAAAGAGACCGGCGAAAATCTGAAAAGCAAAAAATTATAAAACTCTTTTATCTTTAGTCAAATTTATATTTGGATTCGGTGCCACGCATGACTGATATAACTGAGTTCCCATCTACTACTTGGGTTGGCATGGCACCGACTCCAAATATTAATTTGAGTAAAGATAAAAAAGGTTTTTTATTTTTTGCTTTTCAGTTTTTCGCCGGTTTATTTTTTTGCTATAATTTTTTTTGCGCAAATCGGTGTTAAGAAAAATTCAACCAACGATAAAAAACGGAGGAGGTGATCAAGTCGACGAGTATATTTTTTATCTACGCATAACTTTTTACTGAGAAGTCTGGAGGCCTACTCTATTTCAACGAAAAACGAAATTTCGATTGAAATTTCGCACGTTCCTACTCTGTTTCTATTTCATTTCGAAAATTCGTTCGTCCGAAAATAGTTTGACATTTAAATTCTCTAAGCCTACTCAAAACTTTTGAAGTAAAAGTTGAATTTCACAGATAATTGTTCGAAATTTTAACCTCAAATTGACAAAATAGAAAGTGTTACCTTTTCATTTTCGTTTTGGGATTTTTGTTTAAATTAAACCTAAGGTTACTACTAGAGTATATTTAATTAACGCTGCTTAGCGTGAGGAACATTTTTTAGTATGAAAAATTTACAAATAAATCAAATTTTTATTTATTATTGTATTGCCAATAATTCAAAGTGTTACACGACAAATTTAAGTTGACATACATTCGATTGTATCAACTCTACAAATTAGTCGGTTAACACTATCAAAAGAGGTTGTTTTAATGTAATCAAAAATGTTGTCATAAAGTAATATTGTTTTGAAGTAAAAAACGTTATCTAAAAAGTGTAGACAAAAAGAATTCACAAACATAACTCATTCCATTCTTTATATTTTTTTTTAAAGCATGTAACTGCTTGATGTTTAAATCTAAAGAAAATGTCACTACAAAAAATATCCACGCGGACCAGGCAGCAGACGGGATTCAAACCCGCACCCTTCGCATTCATTCATTCCATTCGTTCACGATAATTGTCTGTGATTCCGAATTTTATGTGCGTGTTCAAAGATGAAATAGAGTAGAGTCACTGGCGAAATTTCGTTTGAAATTCGTTCGTTGCCGAAATTTCGTTTCGGAGAATGAGAGTAGAGCTCCTGGTTTTGATAGTTCTTTTTTATTGGAAAGGGTATAACTCCGAAGTTAGTCCCTTAAAAATGTGTAAAAAAGAAATCCTTTTGTTTTGTTAGCTACCCTACATGTAAAGTGGGGTGATTTTTTTTCCTCGTCTACCCCGTCGTGTGGGGTATAGTTGAACAGGTCCTTTAATATGATTTGGAAGTTGCTAAAACTATTTTCATTTTAGAGATCCTTTGGTGAAATATTAAACCTTAAAGTGAACATTTTTCTTCAAGTAAGTCCCTCCGCCCTTTTAAAAGCTATGGGTTTGAAAAATCTGCCATAAATCATGATAATATTGCTTTCTTTTCGCTTTCAAAGAAAATTATGACGGTTAAGATAGATTAGTTAGTTTAACAGTAATAATAGTCGTTCAACTTAGATAATAGAAAATTTCTTACCTACAATAACACATTAAAAGTGATTTAGATGAAGTAATTGCTTGCTTAAAAGCAGAAAATAGCAATTAAAAAGGATAGACTGATGTCAAGTTTACAAATAGCAATGTGAATAGCCAAGCCGGTACGATATTAATATGTGATAAAGGGAATCGAATTGCTGTGATAATATTAAACAAAGTAGGTTCCATACTAAAATTTCATTCCTTGTAATATTCATGGCAAGCCTAGGTAAAGTTCACCCGTGCAAAGTCGGGGTGGATCACTGGTTTAAAATAAAGCAATAAAATTTCAACAGTGGAAAAGCTAAATTGCAACGCATGCACCACGCAGAAAAAAAATCTGATTCAAATGATATATACATATAATTCACTAGCTGTACCCCGCGGTGTTTTAGGGATAATTTCCCGCAGTAAAACGTAGCCTATGTGTTAATCCAGGGTGTCGGCTAACTCCATACCAAATTTGAAGAAGACGTGAAGAAGTAAGAAACATACACACTCACAAACTTTCGTCTTTATAATATTAGTGTGATTTTCGATCATAGTGGCGTATAAGTAATTTTGCCTTTCCAATGTCGATTTGTTTAGTATGCCAATTAGCTATGGGCGTTATATAACTTAGCTAGTTTTGCAACTACCTATCTAGCTGAATAACAATCTCTCGTTGTCTGACGGAAAAAAACTATGTTTTTCCACAACGCTCTAAATTCACTCATAAGTAGGGGTTACCATTTCATTGTCAAAATTCCTAACAAAAATCCTGCCATTTCGGAAAAAGTTCGGATTTTTTAGTAACAAAATGGTACCATTACTAATTAAGTTACATTTGTATGGTGTTTAAATCAATACGTACATTTACTATTCATATTGACAATTTAGAGATCCGGACAAACTCCGGACTAAAGTCTAAGGCCCGTATCACAGAATGACAACTAAGTGTTGATCTTCACTTGAGTACAGTTAGAAAGGGATGTCGCTATGTGCTCTATATAGCGACATCCCTTTCTATCTATGCTCAAGACTAGATTCAATACTGAGAATCTTTCTATAATAAGGGCCTTAAAGTCCGAACATGTCCGGACTAATCCGGACTACGTTATTTCAAAATCATATTAACAGAATACAGGAGGGGTGCTAAGCCCAGTTATTTTGGTGTTCGCTGGTTTATTTGCATATGACCTCTGGCATTCATGATATCAAAGAGGCTGTTTGTTTTAATATTGAACCTGGACGCGCCTACGCCTACTGAATAATTACCCTTTATGGCGATGCTGGTTCGATCTACTACCTACTAAAGAATTTCGGCCATTTTTATAAAGGTCATTGGAATTTACGGTATGTCGTCACGTGTCAATATATCATCAACATTAGCAGAAAATCGTAAGCCTTTCAGGACAGAATCATATGGGACAAATTACTTATTACTGGCTCTCAAAAAACTAAAATTAACGCGGACGGAATTTTAGTATTTTGAGAATTCCATAGGAACCTCACATCTTCCGGGATAAAAAGTATCCCATGTCTCAATCCAGGTCATAAAATATATGCGTACCAAATTTCATCCACATCCGTGCAATATTTTTTACGTGATTGAGTAACAAATATACAAACTTTCACATTTTTTATATTAGTATAATTGAGTTACAACTATACAAACTTTGTAGGATTAGTAA